TGGCAGAGTTGCAGATTTCTTCTTCTCTACTGGCTTCAGTCTGCTGTCTAATGAATGATCGCGTTTTTCCACACTCTTTTTGTTTCTTGGAGGTCGAACTGGAATCTCAATGCTCTCGCACTCGGGCTCCGCGCTCTGAGTGCGTCGTCTTCGTGGCGGCGCTTTCGGTATGGGCTCAGCTTTCAGTGTCTCCTCTGACGATTTCCGTTCCGCTTTTGATTCAGATTTACTATCTGAAGTTTTCTCAGTAGATGTCTTTAGCTCTGTCGAATATCTCCAGGTGTCGTCACTGGTTGATGCTGCCGTCGACGTTTGTTGGACCATGGAAGACTCAAGCGAAGTCTTTTTGTAGAACATAATCGCATCAATCCTTTCTTTAGCTGGCGAACGGAAGAACTCCAAATTCAGCGATGTATAAGCGTCATACTTTTGGATTTCCTGTTTCTTCTTTGAAATTGAGATTACGTTCACTATGCTATTCACATGTGCTTTGACCTTCTGAAGTACTGACACTACGGTATCGGTTCCTTTTTTGGAAAGCTTCGATTTGCAGAACGATTTTATAGTGTTCATTTCATTATTTATCTGCACGAGCAAGTCGTGAAGTTCACGTTTCTTTCGCGTACCGCTTCTTGTGGAGTCTGAGGGAGTTTCCTCCTTGGAACCCCTTTCAATGGCTTCAGTACCCATGCTGTTTATCATCTCCTCAAGACACGACAACTGCTCTTTGATGTTCGTTGTCAATGGGGTTACCCTGAGGTAATCTGCGCTGGGTACGCGAGTTTTTGCAATCAGGTCGGAACCATCTTCGATAGGCGATATAACCGTAGATGGCACAAGTGATTGCTCAGTAATCTTTGTCACTTCCACATCTTCCATAAGCGAGTTTTCAAAATCAGACAATTTCCGTTTCAGCAGCCTAATGGGCCTCCTCATCAGCTCCATTTCTTCCTCAGCTGTTCTACTAGGATTCAGAATCATGTCAGCTAGCGTAGTTCTGAGTAACTCTTCACTAGCTTCTGCTTGTGCCTCTGTTATAGGTCGCGAATGCAAGAGTTCATCGGAAATTCTGAAAATTGCGTCTTCGATTTCTCTCGCATCTTCGCCCAGAGGCGCGACAGGGTGAGGTGAAGTGATTTGTCCGAGTTCAGCGTCTACCTGACGGGCAATTCTTTCGATCTCCTTCATTTTATTAATGAATTCGGGGTCGAATGCTTTGCTGCTGAACCCTTCAGAAGCTGATTTTCCCGCGTCAATCAGCAAGCGAGGGGTTGGTTTCGTTGACTGGGCTCGCCGCTGTTCATAATGAGACTTAGAGCTGAATGTATTATAGCCGGAGGAGGGATAGTTCTGTATGGGAACTAAATTATCGTAAACGCCCTCTTTATGGTTATCGAAAATATCTGGATTTAATGCTGGCTCATCATCCTCTACGTCTTCTAGCATAGCTCTGGAAATTTTTTTGATCGACTGAGCT